GGAGAGGAGAGGAGAGGAGAGGAGAGGAGAGGAGAGGAGAGGAGAGGAGTCCACATGTCTCTTGGTGTCTCTCAGGGTACTGCTAAAAAGAACCATGCTTTGAGATCCTTTCCATGTATCAGGCAGCAATGGCCTGCATGGTCTGCATTCTGAGTCCTCTCTAACAGGACTTTGTAACCAAAATCAGAAAAGCTTCAGATTTCATTCCATCAACGGCAACAGTCAAAGGTTCATGGGATTATTCTATAGAACCATATAGTAAATTCAGTTTTTCAAATACAGACAAATGGCTGTGATCTGATTCGAATTTAATCACAGAAAAATTAGTTTTACTTTAGTGTTTTCCCTATATCTCCCTTTCAAAACAGGTAAGTTATTTTTTGTTTTCTGTTATTATCACTGCTGTTTTGGTTTTTTGTTTTTTATTTTTTTATTTTTATGTGTATGAGTGTATTGTCTGCATGTATGTAAGTGCACCCATGTTGTGCAATGCCTGCAGAGTCAGAAGAGGGCGTTGGATTCCCCTGGAACTGGAATTATAGATGGTTGTGAGCCACCATGTGGGTGCCGGGAATCAAACCTGGGTCTTCTGCAAGAACAGCTGGTGCTCTTAACCACTGAGCCATCTCTCTAGCCCCTTGTTTGTTTTTGAGAGAAGATCTCACTACCAACCCAGGCTGGTCTCAAACTCAAAGTTTTCTCCTATCTTAGCCTCTTAAATGCCGGCTTACAGGAGTGGCACTATGCCAAGTTCTAAACAGGCATCACTCTTAATTAAATTTACTAGAATATAAACTAAAGCTGAAGTCTATCAAATGTTGAGTTGCCCTCACCCCAAATATGGAAGTCCTAATTCTCGATATCTATGAATGTAGTTATAATTATAGAGAGAAACTTTAAATTAAAATAAGCCTGCCACGATGGGGTCTAAATCTAGTTTAGTCATCATCCTTAAATGAAGGAGAAATTTAGCTTAGCATAACAGTGCACACCTAAAATCTCAGCATTTGGGAGGTAAATGGGAAGATCAGGAGTTCAGGGCCAGCCTGTGCTACATGAGATCCTGTCTCAAAATTTTTTTTAAAAATAGAATGTTGGACATAGAGACGTCAGAAGAAAGGCCACATGATTAAAAAGAAAAAAGTAAAGAAGCAGCCATCTGCAAGCCCAGAAGAGAGTTTCCAGAAGAAATAAAATTTACTGACATCTTGATCATCTAGCTTCCACAACTAAAGAAAAAAACTTTTATTGTTTTTAAAATATTTTATTTATTATTTTTGTTTTATGTGTAGGAGTATATTGCCTGCATGTATGTAAGTGCACCTGTGCCGTGTAGTACCCATGGAGGTCAGAAGAAAGTGTTGGATCCCCTGGAACTGGAGTTATGGACGTTTGTTATCTGCCATGTGGGTGCTGGGAATTGAACCTGTTTCCTCTGCAAAAGCAGCTAGTGCTCTTAACTGCTGAGCCATCTCTCCAGCCCCAACTTTTATTGCTTAAATCATCCACTCAAAGGCATTTTCTTAGGGAAACCCTAGAAAATTCATTCAAGTACTTTCAAGATTAACAGAAAAAAATGTTAACATATATGCACATATTAAAAAATAACAATCTGCTAGGCGTGGTGGCGCATGCCTTTAATCCCAGCATTCGGGAGGCAGAAGCAGGCAGATCTCTGTGAGTTCAAGGCCAGCCTGGTCTACACAGTGAGTTCCAGGACAGCTGGGGCTACAGGTAGACCCTGTCTTGAGACCCTTGAAAAGACAAAAAAAAAAAAAATCCAGGTATGGTGTCACTCTCCTTTAGTCCCAGCACAGGGACAGAGGCAGGCAAATCTCTGAAATCAAGGCCAGCCTGATCTACATAGTGCATTTTACGCTAGCTGGGACTATAGGGAGACCCTGTCTCAAAAAACATAAATAAATAAACAAATAAATAAATAAATGGCAATTTTATGTAAATGAAATGCTTCAAAATACGCTGTTATCTTAAAACACCTATTATATCTTGAAAGACTGATGCGATTACCAAACCCACCTTTCTGTCAATGCTCTTCATCGTTAACAGGTCCAGGGACTTCAGAGAATGTCCTGTGGGTGCAATGAAGTAAAGGCACACATGGATACGAGAATCATGATAGTCAATCAAGGAGCGCTTAATCTTCAGTTCTTCTTGAAGATATGCCTCAAACTGAGCATCTAGGTAGTCAATTACTGGTTGGTAGCTTTAAAAAAATATTATTTAAACATTTAGCATAACAAATTGGTAAAATCACAAACTGATTTCTCACTATCTAACACACAATATGTGCACTAAGTGGTTTTCCACTTGATAAAATTTTCTCATTTCCTATCTATACAAAAATAACTCCAGGTTGGCCAAGAATGGTGGCCCACCCCTTTAATCCCAGCACTGAGGAAGCAGAGGCAGGCAGATCTCTGTGAGATTGAGACCAGTCTGGTCTACATAGTGAGTTCCAGACCAGCTGGGGCTACAGGAAGACCCTATCTCAAAAAGATTAAAAGTAATAATAACTCCAGGTTGGAGGTGTATCTCAGTGGTAGAGTGTATGGTATATTCCATGTCCCAATCCCGAAGGTGTCCTTATTTGGGGGGAAATAGGGTTGTAGATAAAATTAATAATTTTTTAATTTTTATTTTTTAAATAGGAATACGAATCTAAAACTATTTCTGTCACAATTGTTTCCCTCCATCACAGCTCATTTAAATCTGATAAGGAACTATTAAAGTCTATTAATTTTAGAAGAGAAACAAGGAACTAAAGCTAGTAGAAAGTTGGTAAACAGATTCTTGTTGCTTTTACTGTTGTTTGAGACGAGGTCTTACGCTACAACCCAAGCTAGGCTGGGACTCCCTGTGCAGCTGAGGCTGACCACAGATTCATGGTGGTCCTTCTGCCCTTGCCTCTCAAATGCTGGGATTACAAGTGTGTGTCAGCATACCCAGCTCAGATATTTTTGAAATTGGTTAATCTAAAATCTTGGAAAAAAAATAAGACAACTATATTAGGTATATAAACACGCCCATTTCATGAGATCATTGCTTACTTAGGAAAGAGTTAAAATCTAGAAGGAAAGACATCAACTACTATAGACTAGTATTACAATTTAGTCTAGGAAAATGAAGGTAATACCTTGGAATGAGAAAGACTTTAATTAAAATAAGAAAACACACCAAAATAAAACCCATTACTTCATACTAACTTTAAAAATTAATTAAAAATTGCATTTGGAAGGCAGAGACAGGCAGTTCAAGGCCAGCCTGGCCTACACAGTGAGTTTCAGGCCAGCTGGGGCTACAGGGAGACTCAAAAAAAGACCAAAAAAAATTAATTTAAAAATAAGAAAATACTAACCTGGCTTCTTTGTTTATTTGATCGCCATACCCCACTGTTTTCACAACAGTCAATTTCAGTGGAATATTTCTTTCCTGAAGTTCATATGTCTTAACTTTAAGTCCAACCTTTGAGTAAAAATGGGAGGACTTGTTCTCTTTCAAATTAGTATTGAACAGGGTGTTAATCAGTGTTGTTTTTCCAAGTCCAGTTTCTCCTATAATAAACAGACACATCATCACAGAGGTATAGGACTGTTCTAAAACATCGACAGTGGTTTAAATAGATCCAAAAGTCTAAATTAAAGGGCAAAATAAGGAGGTGTTGTCAAGATGGACTAGAGATTCATTGACAAAAGTCAAATTAAAGGAGGAATTATAAGGAGAGGCTGTCAACCGGAATGGAGATTCATTGATAAAAGCAGGTACAAAGGTTCAAATAGACAAAAGGTTTTTTGTTTGTTTATTTTTTGTTTTTATTTTATGTATATGAGTGTATTGCCTCAGAAGAGAGCTTCAGATTCCCCTGGAACTGGAGTTAAGGATAGTTCGTAGAGTTCGTAGTCACCATGTGGGTGGTGGGACTCAAACCCAGGTCCTCTGCAAGAGCAGTCAGTGCTCTTAACTGCTGAGCCATCCCTCCAGCCCCAAAAGTAAGGGTGACTATAGTTAACAAAAACACACATTTCAAAGTAACTACAGAATGAATTTCAAATGTCTCACTATAAAATGATGGATAAGTAGGAGCTGGATATACTAATTAGCTTGATTTAATCATTCCATGCTACATACAAATATCAAAACACCACATTATATTCCATAAATCTATATAATTAAAATTTGGCTATTAAAAATAATATTTACTTCCAGTACATAAATGAAGGGACACCCTGGGATGTCCCTGAGAGCACATAACTAATATGACTCCCTTAGTCACTAACACAGTAAAGAAAGAAAATTTACTAAGCTATATCAGATTTTGAACACTGAAATGTTTTTAATTAAAAAATTTTTTTAGACAGGGTCTCACTATGTAGCTTTGACTGACCTGAAACTTGCTATGTAGACCAGGTTGGCCTCAAACTCAGAGGGCTCCACCTGCCTCAAAAAAATAAGATAAAATAGGGGGATGGAGGAACTTTGAAAGTGGCTCAATGGTTAAGAGCACTGGATGCTGGGGCTACAGAGATGGCTCAGTGGTTAAGAACACTGTTCTTGCAGAAGACCCGGGTTCGAATCCCAGCACCCACATGGCAGCTAACAACTGTCTGTAAGTCCAGTCCCAGGGAATTCAAGAGCCTCTTTTGACCTCCGAGGACATTGCACAACACAGGTGCACTTACCTACATGCAAGCAATACACGCATACATGTAAAATAATAAAATATTAAAAAAAGAAAAAAGAGCATTGGATGCTATTGCAGAGGACTGGGGTTCACTTCTCAGGACCCACATGGTGTCTAACAACAATCCAGTTCCAGGGGATCTGACATCTTCTTCTGACTTCACACAGTGTGTACCTGCATACATGCAGGCAATACATTCCTACACATAAAATACAAATAAAATAAATCAAAACAATTTTTTCAAAGCATGCACCATCACTCCTGGACGAAATGTTTTTAAATGTTTAAATAATGTGGCTAAGACAATGGAAACCAACACAGATATAAACTGTCTTGAATTAGCAGCATGGGGCAGGAAAGATGACTCAGCAGTTAAGAGCACTTACTATTATTCTTCCAGAGGACCTGGATTTGGTTCCCCACACCTAAATGGCCGCTAACACCAATCCTTAACTCCATTTCCAGGGGAGTCAACACCCTCTTCTGGCCCCCTAGGATGCCAGACACTCACATGGTGCACTTACATATGTGCAGGCAAAATACTTGAGCTTAAAAAATAAAAATAAATAGGAGAATTCATGTGGAGGTCAGACTGAATGCAGGTGTGAGTGTGTCCAGCAGTAGGAAACACGGCTGCCAAAGTATTTGAGTCCATCAGGAAGTTGGGCCTGGCCGTAGCCGTCGCAGGACGCCGTGGTGAACTCTGCCTGGTATAATGTGGATGCTGAGCACAGAGCTGTCATCTTTGACCGATTTCATGGGGTATAAGACATCGTTGTCGGGGAAGGGACTCACTTTCTCATCCCTTGGGTACAGAAACCAATTATCTTTGACTACTGCTCTCGACCTGGGAACGTACCAGTCATCACTTGTAGCAAAGATTTGCAGAATATCAACATCACATTATGCATCCTCTTCAGGCTTGTTTGCAAGTCAGCTCCCTCGGATCTACACCAGCATCGGAGAGGACTATGATGAGCGCGTACTGCCATCTATCACCACTGAGATCCTTTTGATGCTGGAGAACTGATCACCCAAAGAGAGCTGGATTCCAGACAGGTGAGCGATGACCTCACAGAGCGAGCAGCAAACTTTGGGCTCATCCTGGATGACGTTTGCCTGACACATCTGACCTTCGGGAAGGAGTCACAGAAGCTGTGGAAGCCAAGCAGGTGGCTCAGGAGGAAGCAGAGGGGGCCAGATTTGTGGTGGAAAAGGCTGAGCAGCAGCAGAAGGTAGCCATCATCTCTGCCGAGGGTGACTCCAAGACGGCTGAGCTGATTGCCAACTCCCTGGCCACTGCAGGCGATGGCCTGATTGAGCTGCGCAAGCTGGAAGCTGCCGAGGACATTGCCTACCAACTCTCTAGTTCTCGGAACATCACCTACCTGCCAGCCGGGCAGTCTGTGCTCCTCCAACTGCCCCAATGAGGCCTGCCCTGCCTCTACCTCCTCAGGCCACCTCCATGGATGGCTGCCCCACAGCCCCTGTCATTCTGAACACCGCCTTCTTTCTGCCCCCACCCCAGAAATCACTGTGAAATTTCATGATTGGCTTAAAGTCAAGGAAATAAAAAGTAAAATCACTTCAGAGCTCTAATTATCAAATGAAAAAAAAATTTAAAAATATAAATAAATAAAATATTTTTTAAAACAGCACCAATATTATGCTGTTTGATATCAGTTAAAATGAGAAGGGGAAAAATGAAGCAATAATTTAAATGTAGTGTTGGGCACTTACCCACACAGAGAATATTGAAAGAGAATCCTTTATGGATAGATCTGTTCACCAACTGGGTAGGCAAACATTCAAACCCAAAATGGCTGAGAGTAGTTAAGCAACGAATGTTCTCATTTTGTTTCAAAGGGTCCTAGTTAGAAGAGGAAACAAAGCCATTTGAAAGGACAATAGTAATTATAATATGCTAAAGAAATTAGGACTGGTTGCCCTGGATTATCTACACAAACGTATTAAGTGAATTTGTACAAAAAAAAAACAAAAAAACTCACACACAGATGTTGATGTTATTGCTATAAATAAGCTAAATCAACCTCTGATCACACTCTAAGAGGATATGTTTCTAAACTTTAAAAGATATAAGAAAACACCACAAGAAACTCCAGTGCGTCATTCTAAAATAGTAATGACTTTTCTATGTTAAAAGAAAAATTTTAACATTATTTCATCTTTTCAGTGTCTAAATATATTAAGAAAACCTATGCCAGATGTGATGGTGCACAACTATAATCTCAGCGCTCAGGGAGTGGAGGAGGACCGGGAGTTCAAGGCCAACCTCCACTACATAGTGAGTTGGAAACCAGCCTGGCTACATGAGATTTCATCTAAAGGAAAAAAAAAAATTAAGAAAATCAGTGACAGTGTACCCTGTTGATGCACACTTTTAAAAACATTTTTAAATCTTTTAAAAGTATTTTATGCCGGGCGTAGTGGCGCATGCCTTTAATCCTTGCACTTGGGAGGCAGAAGCAGGTGGATCTCTGTGAGTTCAAGGCCAGCCTAGTCTACATAGTGAGTTCCAGGACAGCTGGGGCTACAGGGAGACCCTAACTCAAAAAGACAAAAAAAAGTATTTTATTTTATTATTTTATTTTATGTGTATGAATGTATTGCCTGAATGTGTATAAGTGCACTCGTGTCATGCAATGCCGGAGGAAGTCAGAAAAGGGCATCGGTCCCCTGGAACTGGAGTTAAGGACGGTGTGTAGCCGCCATGTGGGTGCTGGGAATCGAACCTGGGTCCTCTGCAAGAGCAGTCAGTACTCTTAATCACTGAGCCAACTCTCCAGTCCCAATATTTAATTTATTTTTATTTTGTTGTGTATGAGTGTATTGCCTTCACGTATCTAAGTATACCCATGTTGTGCAATGCCCACACAGGTCAGAAGAGGGTGTCAGATCACCCTGGAACTGGAGTTACGGATGATTGTTAGTTGCCATTTGGGTGCTGGAAATCAAACCCAGATCCCCTGCAAGAACAATCAGTGCTCTTAACTGCTGAGCCATCTCTCCAGCTCCTTGGTGCACTCTTTTAATCCCAGCACTTGGGAGGCAGAGGCAGAATAGATAGGCGGATCACTGTGAGTTCAAGGCCAACCTGGTCTACATAGTGAATTCCAGATCAGACAGGGTTATGTAGTGAGACCCTGGCTCCCCCCCACAAAAAAAATTCCATCATTTTCCAGCAGTGACGATCTCCACACAAGAATATGCCTCTCACAAAGGACCTTCAATCCTCTCCAGAAGAGAAGAGAAAATATTAAAGGTGCCTGGTACAGAGCCCCAATTCCCTTTTCATGAATGTGAAATGCCCAGGACACTATAAAATCACCATGGTCTTTAGCCATTCACAAACAGTAGTGGTGTATAGTGGCTGCTCCACTGTCTTCTGTCATCCTACGGGCTGAAAAGCAAGGCTTACAGAAAGATGTTCCTTCAAGAGGAAGAAGCAGTAAAACCAGCATGAATCAAGATGAGTAGAAAATCACCCCAATAAACACATTTCAGAGTTTTAAAATTACATCTTTATATACATGACAGAGTCAAAATTAATTTGAAATATAAATCTAAGCAAATGGGTTGTGGGGCTGGAGAGATGACTCAGCAGTTAAGTGCTTGCTGTTTTTTAAGAGGACGAGAGCTCAGTTCCCAGCATGCAAGATGGTAGTTCAAAATTGCCTGTAACCCCAGCTCCAGGAGATCTGACATTCCTTCTGGCTTTCTCAGGTATCTACACATACACACACATACATACACACAGACACATAAATAAAAATAAATCTTTTTTTTTTTGTCTTTTTGAGACAGGGTCTTCCTGTAGCCCCAGCTGGCTGGAATCGAACCCAGATCCTCTGCAAGAGCAGTGAGTGCTCCCAACCACTGAGCCACCTCTCAGCCTTAAATAAAATATTTTAAAAGAAGAAATATACATCAGTATTATACCTAAAGTATAATACTGGTTACTTTTCTTGTGTGTCTTTTTTGGGACAGTGTTTCCCTGTAGCCCCAACTGGCCTTGAACTAGATATGTAGACCAAGTTGGCCTTGAACTCATGCATGACATGGGTGCACGTATATACATGCAGGCAATACACATACGCATAAAATAAAAATAATAAAGAAAATATCTTTTAAGAAGAAATACTATAGGCCAGGTGTAGTGGCGCACACCTGTAGTCCCAGCACTTGGGAGGCAGAGGCAGGAGGACCTCTGTGAGCTCAAGGCCAGCCTGGTCTACATAGTGAGTTCCAGGCCAGACCCTGTCTCAAAAAGACTGAAAAAAAAAAAGAAAAGAAAAAAAAAGAAATACTATATTTGGGCAATAACTTTTTTATTGTTTTTATTTTATGTGTATGAATGTACTGCCTGCATGTATGTGAGTATACCATGTCCTGCAATGCTGCGGAGGTGAGAAGAGGGCATCAGATTCCCCTGGACAGTTCATAGCCGCCATGTGGGTGCTGGGAATTGAACTCGGGTCCTCTGCCAAAGCAGTCAGTGCTCTTAATTGCTGAGCCATCTCTTCAGCCCAGCAATAATTATTAATCACTCATGAAAATCTCTCCCAAATTATAAAAATTCACAAAGGTTAACGAAGATGTGTTCACTGCAGCTCCTCTTAATAGTAACACATATTAATTATACAGATTAATGATATTCACTGTGATATTCCCACACACACATACACATGCATTGATCGTGTCTGTCTGTCCTGCCTTCAGTCCCCCTCAGTTCTCCCCATACTCCAACACTCTTCCAATCCCTAGTCTATTTGGTGGTAACTTATTTTGTTTTAATTTCCACATATGAGTCAAGATGTGATACATTTTTCTTCATAGCTGAAAAATTCTCCATGACATGCCCCAGTGGGATGTACTTTGTTTGGGGCTGCAGCCCTGCCAGCTGCCACACAAGCCTGATGTGCAGGTATCTGCAGAGATGAATCAGCTTAGCAGCAGCCATGATAACCTACCTTCACCAGCAATGCCCAACCTCAGGCATATTATGAGGCAAAATTCCATTCACTGACAGCTCCACAGGGTAATAAGCAGGACTTCACCTTGGAATCCAGTGCCAGGTGAGTAAAAGCTAGCACTGGGCAAACTATAACAGCCCATCCTGAGCAAGTGCCCCCAGATGGAGCCTCTGGAACAGCTGCAGGGTCTGGAAATCTGTCACCCCAGTCTATTGGACTTCCATTTCCTCATCTGTGATTGGGTGTAGCAGTCTTGAGTCATAAGTCCATCTCAACACTAGGTCACCCATAGTGTGAGCCTTGGTTCTGCTCCAGTGACATGCAGATTTGGCAGGGTGTGAGCTCCATATGTGACAGAGCTTTGCAGTATCAGGAGCTGTGAACCTGGCACAGAAGATTGGGACAGATCCCACCCCCCACCCCACCCTCATGACCTGGGAAGAATCCTGCGGAGTCTGGCTACAAAGACGTCTGGACCTTCCCTGGGCCCATGATGATGTCCACGGGAAAGACAGACTGCCACTTTCTGAGTATCCCGTTTCCCCTCCCACAGCATTCAACACATCAACTTCAGGTTTAGAACAACCCTAGCTTGGATCGCCCTCTAGTGCTGACACAGAACAAACACTGCAGCAGATTTATGGCAAATGGGCTTAGAGTGCCACCTCCTGCTGAAATAGAAGTGATTACAAGTTCAGAGAACGACCAAAAAAAGTATCAACAAAATCACATCACAAAGACTATAATAAGTACATAATCGTTCAATGCACAGATTTCATCAAACACCTAAGAAGATAAAAAAAAACTCTCAGAGATGGGCTGTCAAGATGGCTCAGCAGTTGAGAGCACTGGCTGCTCAGGCAGAGGACCGGGGTTCGCTTCCAACCACCCACAAGGTGGCTAACAACCTCAGTAACTCCAGTTCCAGGGGATCTGACACTTTCTTCTGGCCTCCATGGGCATTGCATGCATGTGATGCATCTACGCACATTCTTGCAAAACACTCATACACAAAATAAAAATAAATAAATAACTCAGGTGTCCCAGCTATCCTTTAGAGAGAGAGGAAAGAAGACATCCCCAGGTACTGAAAGCAGAGTCTGTATCTTCTCCATCCTATACTGTAAGAAGTGCTCATGGGAGTTCTTCAGACAAATGCAGAGACATTAGAAGAAAGCACTGGAACATGGAAAACATACCAGTAAGAGAATCCTGACAAGGGCAGAATGCTGTACATACCATAAACATGGCACATAAGCCATTCATGTCTTTAACATGAAGACTGAAAAAGTGAAACAATTCAGTATAAGATTCCAAGATGGCTGAATAGAGGTCTCCCAGCACTTGCCTCCACCTCTATAAGGAAGGGAAATGCAATCCCAGCTCCTCATCTGGGAGCCCTCCCCTCTTCCAGTGTTCATTTCAGAAAATTCCATCAACATAGAGGCTAGCAATCTCTGCTAGTAGAAAGCTCCACATTTGTAAGGAGCTCACATCCAACTCAGAACAACCCAGAGTCCTCACAGTAGCTTTGGAGAAGGAACCCACATCATCTCCATGGCAACCCCCAGAGCCTAAGCTCTGTAACTAAGCTAGTGGTTGGATACATATGTCCTAAAGGTCAATATCTCCACAGATGCCCATCCCTAAAACTCCATTGATATGTCACATCAGCATAAGGGGGTACAGTCCTGTGAACCCAAGTTGACCCCTCAGAGCAACTCTGACCCTACCATCTAAGTTCACACGGTGCCCTACATTACAGGAAACAGGTGATTCTACACATAATGATGGAGGGTGCCACTCACAAGAACTGGGAGATGAGGGTGCTCATCTTCGTGGACCTAGGACATGGCCAACAATGTGTAGGCCCCTGTGTGGCACTCCACTGGTGTGTCCCACCAACCACAGCCTGTGGGATGGACTCAATATCAGCAGGCAATGCACAAGATTCTATACTTAGATACCTTCTAAGACCTCCCTCTAAGCCACATATAAGACCATGTTAGCAATGGAATTGAAAGAAGACTTTCCACACAAAGAAGCTCTGTTGGGTCCATAGTATACCTGGCACTGAGTCTGTTACAGGGTAGGCATCACAGAAAAGGGCCTGAGGTTCCCAGGCTTTCTCCTTTTACACTGCATGAGCCACTTCTGTGACTCAGAGTGGCCACTATAGAGTAGCTGGACAACTGTTGTGTCACCCCCACAGGCAGCTGTGTCGGGGACTGAGGGAAGGTACTTTGAGCTGCTGGTATCAGAAGCCTGCCCTGTCAGCAGAGCTCATCCAGCAGCACCCTGCTCCCAGTGCCACTGCTCTTAGCATCAGCGTGGCCACAGAAGAAGGCAAAGAACAGCTGTTTGCCTTTAAGACTGGCAGTTCAGGGGGGCTGGAGAGATGGTTGGCGGTTAAGAACTGTTCTTGCAGAAGACCCAGGTTTGAATCCCAGCACCCAACATGGCAGCTAACAACTGTCCGTAACTCTAGTTCCAGGGGATCTGACAGCCTCTTCTGTCCTCCGAGGGCATTGTATGACACAGGTGCACTTACATGCAAGCAACACACTCATACACATAAAATAAAAATAATAAATAATAACCAGCCGTAGTGGCACATGCCTTTAATCCCAGCACTCAGGAGGCAGAAGCAGGCATATCTCTGTGAGTTCAAGGCCAGTCTGATCTACATAGTGAGTTCCAGGACAGCTGGGGCTACAGGGAGACCCTGTCTCAAAAAGACCAAATAATAATAAATAAAATATTTTTAAAAAAAAAAAAAAAAGACTGGCAGTTCAGGGAGCCAGCTGAAGGAAGTTAGGGAATGAGAAGTTGTTTGTCATTTCATGCAGCTTCCTGCAGGAGCTAAGTCCCAGATCATCAGAGATGTGGGTGATGGATTGAGTGGTGGGATTGCATGAAATTAAAAATCTTCTGCACAGCAAAGGAATGATCCCTGTGAAGAAACAACCTAGAGTGGGAGAAAAATCTCCAGCTATTCATCTGACAAGGGATTAGTAACTGGAATACCTAAAGAACTCAAAACAGTGAGAACCAAAAAAAAAAAATCAACCCAATCAATAAATAGGAAAGTAAGTTGAAGAGACAGTTCTCAAGAAAAGAAATACAAATTGTCAATAAATATATGAAAAGGGGTTGGCAGGTATGGCTCATTTGGTAGGGTATGGGCCTAGCATGCACAAAGCTCTGGGCTCATTCAATTACCAGCACCACATAAACTGGACTTGGTGGTTCTCACCTGCCTTCCCAGCACATAGGAAGTAGAGGCAGGAAGATCAGGAGTTCAACATCATCCTAGGATACATAGCAAGTTCAAGGCCAGTCTGGGCTACATGGAAAGCTGTGTGTTCGTGGGGGTGCATTTGGAGGCCAGAGGAAATCATTCAGTTCCTCACTGGCCTGGGATTCAATGATTAGGCTAGGCTGGCTGGCACCTGAGCCTAGGGATCCTACTGTCTAGCCTCCTCAGCACTGGGATTACAACAGTGTGCTACCATCCATGACTTTTTTTTCCCCTTAGGTTCTGGGCATGGAATGTGGGTCCTCATGGTTGTGAGGCAAGCAGTTTGCCAACTGACCTACCTCCCCCGCTAGAGATAGTTGTTTTTATATAGCTTATGTTTTGTATAAAGGTAAAACCAACTGCACTGTTCTGGAATAAGGTACCACTCTCCATGTTTCTATTCCAAGGGGGCCACAGAACTTCCAGCAGAACAAACTGCACCAAACTGCTGTCCAACTAACCCTCACTTAGACTGAACTATGTTGGCATCCTGTCAGAAGAGCCATAGAACCAGGTGTGGTTGTCTTATGCCTGTAATACTGGCACCTGGGAGACTGAAGCAAGAGGACTGCGGCACACTGGAAGCCAGCCTGGGCTACAGAATACAACTCTATCTAGAAAGAATGTTTTCTATTACATTTTAATTTAATTTAGTTTATGTGGGGGGAGAGCCTGTGTAATAGAAGGTGTGAAGATCAAAAGACAGCTTGCAGAAGTCCACTGTCTCTTTCCACCATGTAGGGCATGGGAATCGAATTCAGGTCCTCAGGCTTGGCCACAAGCCCCTTTACCTAGACAGCCATCTAGCCCATCTGCCACCCCCCAACCAAATTTTTTTTTAAAGTGTCCACTGGAATGTACTGACTTCAAGGAAGAAGATGACTCTGTGGTTAGCTGGGTCCTGAGGCAGTGAACACTGAGGTGTTGGTGGCTAGCAAACAGGTCTTTACTCCCTGGGAACAATGCAGTCAAAGATTTCAACTAGAGGTGGTACTGGTCTGTCTTCTGGACTGAAGGTTCCAAGTTTGGCGAGGGACCAGAGGGATTTCTTAAAGTCAATGCTGTGATGTCCCCTAGTGGATCTCCACCAGATGAAGCTGGTTAGGAGAGCCCCACCAGGCCTCAATAGAGGCCAGTCCCCCAGCTGCTACAACACATAATAGGGGCTCCTTCCCTCAGCTTCCTGCCTTCACACTCACAGGACAATGGACAGCACAATGGGCTTTGGGGTGAGGGACTGGGCTATACGAATGGCAGGGGTGGGGGTGGGGAGGTAGTTATGCACACATCTTTTCTCCTGTGTTTGCCACAGTGATGCAAAGCTTGCAATAATTCTAGGGGTTTGAGTTTTAATTCATTCTCTCTTTGTGTTTTAAATAAAAATATTTTACACTAAAAACAAAATCAATAGACTCAAGAAGCATGTTGATAATTATTAAAATCATCATTTATATTTAAATATTTCTAGTAATAAAGTTCATTCATTCTCAAACACAAACCTTTTTACCGAGACTCGAATCAGTTTATAATGTTAGTATTTCGAAACCACACAATCTTACTGATGTACAAAATGCAAAGCTATATTTGAAAGATATACTTAACTGTATCTTCATGGTTTGGTGTTTGTGTGGATATGGTCAATGATTTTTCTGCCATGGCAGACAGAAGAAGCTGAAATGAAGAGAAAACTTTTTCAATTTTTCTTACAAAGATTATATTCCTAACATACAATTTAGATCAATGAGAATCTAATATAGACATCACCACAAATTTTATCTTTCATTCACACTTTTGACTTGTTTTAAGTTGTATCTTTCTAACCAGGCTTCTGTGTATTAAATAATAGTCTATGTATATGGTGATGCATTTAACCATAAACACACAAAATCAACAGGTTACAAAGGTCATCTTTTAATGAAATTTTTAAACTAGTAATGGATGTCATTGTAACATTTCATACATATATAACACAGTCATGTGTCCTTTTTAAAGAACTTTGATCCTGAGAAAGAGGTGAAAAGCATAAGGAAAGTGCTCCAAATCGCTTACATTTCTAGATTCATTTACCAGGTGAAGTATTAAAGTCAGAACATTGAAGGACGACAATTGGATAAGAAAAAAAATTAGAGAATTTGAAGAAGGAAAATAGGCTTATAAAATCTATCCAAGTTCCTTAGGAACTGAACTAAAGCCAAATTCTTCATTTATGAAGTACCTTTACAGGAAACATTATATACATATTTTCGTTATCACATGCCAAGTAAAAAAATTCAGACTCAGAAACGCCAAACTAACTTACTTGTCCAGAGTGTCAGCGACGTGGTGCACACAGGTCTGAACTGACTCCGGAGCTGATGTGCCTTCTGCTATCTACAAATTTGGGCCAATTCCTAGTCACTGGATTTGCAACAGTTGGGAACAAGGGAGGGACGGTACGTAAGGGTGGGCTGTAGATTCCGCCTCAGAGCTGCCTGAGAAGGCCATGCTACCCTACTTTTGAATACAGCACAAAGATATTAAGAATGTGAGGCATGTTTTTTAAAGGAATATTATCTATGGGTAAAGCAAAAATAAAGTCAGACAAAAGAGCAAAGAACGGCTCTGTTCCATTTGACATACACAGAGGATTATTCCACATTAGTATAATTTATAATTTACTAGTATAATTTATAATTTATCCTAATAATTATACACATTAGTATAATAATTCATTTCATTTTTCCTTAATGTTAAATACAACTCTCTCATAGACAGTCATTTGTTCTACCGTATGGTTTACCCTAGCTCATGTGAAATTTCTGTTTCTATTTAGTAGAAATTCAATCTTAGGTGTTACCATGATTTTCATTCCTTAATTGCAATCAACAATAAATATTTCAAAAACTAAAACTTCTTTTTTTGTTTTGGAAACAGGGTCTCCAGTCCCAGCTGGCCTGAAATTCACTACTATGTAGGCTAGGCTGGCCTTGAACTCACAAAGCTCCACCTGCCTCTGCCTCCCACGTGCTGGGATTAAAGGCCTGTGCCACCATGCCCAGCTGAGAATGATTTTAAACTCCTGACTCCCCTGCCTCCACCTCCCAAGTGCTGAGATTATAAGCATACATCACCAAATCTGATGCTGAACTTCGAATTTTGAGAGTGGGTAATTATAAGAAGTTGTGAAAGCTGGGTGTGGTGGTGCATGCCTTTAATCCCAGCATTCAGGAGGCAGAGGCAGGTGGATCTCTGTGAGATCAAGACCGCCTGGTAAACAGCAAGTCCCAGGTCAACTGGGGTTATAGGAAGATCCTATCTTGATAAAAAAGTGGCTATGCCCCTAGATAATCTTAAAACTCTTTCAGAGTGCCCATGCTAAGATATGCTTTGCCTTTTACAATATGTTAAAGTTCACACTGGTGATTCAGAAGCAATGTTGGATAAATTTACTGTTGCTTTCTTCAGTGCCTGACACAAATTCTGTTAATTATCTGTTATTCACTATGCTCACTAAAAAAGAAACAAAGGAAAGTGAGTTAGCCATAAAGCACTTATGTTGTATATAAACATGATGGTTGTCTTGAAGAAATCAAGTTTTATGATTGAATTACAAGAAAAATAGTCACTACACTTATATGAAAGATTTTTAATTTCAAAGACAAGTGACAAACATTGGTTGTTCAGTCTTGGGTACTTCAAAGACTGTCTTGGAAATGAAGTGTTTTGTAACATCAAGACAAATAACTGTGGCCTGATGTGGTGGCTCACACCTTTAATCCCAGCACTTGGGAGACAGAGACAGGTAGAGCTCTGTGAGTTCAAGGCCAGCTGGGGCTACAGGGAGATCCAGTCTCAAAAAGACAGAGAGAGAGGGAGAGAGAGAGAGAGAGAGAGAGAGAGAGAGGAAAGAAACAAAGAAAGAAAAATAACTGCATAGGTTGTTAATAACAAGCTTACTGTCTTCTTGCAGTGTAGTCAATAAACTACTCTTGTTCTGATCTGAAAGGTAAATTCACTCATTGTCCACCATAGTGGCTAAACACTGAATCCACTACTTTTTCTTCCAGACTTCCTCCTATGTCTGCAGTTTCTCAAAATAACCCCCTTCAAAATAATCCTTATGCCAAAATGACAGTTTTGGAGATTCATGCCTATAGTCTCAGTAGATTGAAACAGGACTACCATGAGTTCATGGTCAACCAGGGTTTCAGAAAGAAAAAAAGAAAGAGGCCAGGTGTGATGGTACACTCCTTTAATCACAGCACTTGGAAGGTAGAGATAGGCAGATCTTTGTGAGTTCAAGGCCAGCCTGGTCTATATAGAGAGTTCTAGGCAGCTGGGGCTACAGGGAGACCCTGTCTCAAAAAAAAAAAAAGAAAAAAAAAGAAAGAATGAATGAATGAATGAATGAATAGGGCCAGGCTTAGTAGCACACACCAATAATCCCAGTCAAGTAAGAAAGATGACAAATTGGAAGCCAGCTTGTCCTGTTCCAGGACAGGCTGAAATGGGTAAAACTATCTGGAAAAAGCCAGGCGTGGTGGCACACACCTTTAATCCCAGCACTTGGGAGGCAGAGGCAGGCGGATCTTTGTGAGTTGAGGCCAACCTGGTCTACATAGTGAGTTCCAGGACAGCTGGGGCTACAGGGAGACGCTGTCTCAAAAAAAAAAAAAAAAAGAAAGAAAGAAGGAGGAGGAGGAGGAGATGAAGGCAAAGGAAAAGACAGAAGGTAAGGATAATGAGAACAAAGAGCTCCTTGATGTCAGGTGGCAGAACAGAGGCATCCACCAGTTGCCACCTTTTTCCTCACAAAGAACCAGTATATAGCTGCATTCTGCGGGGAGTGACCCTGGAAATCAACAAGAGACTGGACACTCGCAAGATTCAGAAACATGACTGCAATCCCATAGAAAGAGAAACGAATTATCCTGGTATCTGTCACCCTGGCTCCCTATCTATGGGGGCGAGGGGAGTCTCATTTTTGCTGGGATAAGCAGGGAAGAGAGAGTCCAGCATAATCTCATCAGTATGGATACTGATAATCCTAGCTCTGGGAAAGTTTCACAAGCCTCACAGGACAGCAAGTAACCTGAAATCTGAAATCTGAATGGTTGTCTTACTTCAGAAAAGGCTTTCTCATCATCTCCTGAGGAACCCTCAGAGTGCTGAAGCCGGAAGACACCTTGAGAAGGAAGCTATTGTTTGACTTTGAACTACACTAGTGGTCAGAAACCCCTCCTATTATTTTGCTGTGTCAATATCCAACAAAAGCCACTTAAGAGTTTATTTTTGCCAGGTGTAGTGGTGCACATCTTTAATTGCATGAGACCCTCAGTTCAAGCCCTAGTACCACACATATATACACATTGAAAGAGAGTGCCCCTCAGACCCCCCTCCCTATCCTCTGAGAAAAAACTACCCTCCACCTGACTCTGGAAATTCCCTTCATTGTTCGAACCCTTTCCTGGTATCTGCTTGTGATTTCTATGGAAATGGTCTGGGGCAGAAGAGATAGAACGTTCTGCCCCAGGTGAGCTAGCCAATGACAGTATACTTGATACATCTGTGTATGGTCTCTATGGAAATAATCCAGGGCAGAAGAGAAAGAATGTCATGCCCCAGGTAAGACAGCCAATGGCTGTATAGGTAAAGACTCTGGAAATCAGCCCTAGATTGTTCCAATCCTTTCTCTGTATAGTTACTATGGACAGACCCTGCTTTGTGTTTTTTGTGGTTTTTCTGCTTAAAAGCCCTGGGTTTTCACTGTTCAGGGTCACAGCACAGCTCCCGAGACTGTCTGCGTCCCCAACCAGTTGGTTCCAATAAAGTGCTCCTTTTTACTGAGACTTAGTATCCGAGTGGTCAATTTAGGGAATTTTACGGATCCTTAACAACATATAAACCAGTCATGGTGGTACATGCCTTTAATTCCAGCACTCAGGAAGCAGAGGCAGGTGGATGTGAGATCAAGGTCAACTTAGTCTACACAGTGAGTTCCAGGCCAGCTGGGACTACAGGGAAACCCTGTCTTACGGGTTTATTTTGACTCATAGTTTGAGGGTATAGCCTATTATGGTAAGTGTGATGGTTTATATTGATTGTCCACCCAACAGGACCTAGAATCACCTAAGAAAAGAGCCTATGGTCGTGCCTGAGAAGGATTATCTAGATAAAGTTAGTCTCTGGTTTTGCCTGTGAAGCATTATCTAGATTAGGTTGGCCTCTGGGCATTTCTGTGAGGAATCATCTTGACTAGGTTGAGGTGTGAGGACCCTCCTAAAAGTGGGCTGCATCATTTCCTAGCCTTAGGTCCTGCTCTGCATAAAAGAGAACTGTATTTGAACAGCAGTATTCATCACAGTGTGCTCCTGGACAGCAGATGCAATGTGACCAGTTACCTCAAGTCCCACCACTGTGACTGTCCCACCATGGTTGGTTATAACCTCAAACTGAGAGCCAAAATGAACACTTGTTCCCTTAAATTGCTTTTTAATTTGTTTTTATTTTATGCTTATGAGTGTTTGCCTGCATGTACACCAAGCACATTCAATGTCTGCAGAGGTCAGAAGGGAGCATTGGCTCCCCTAGAACTGGAGTTATGGATGGTTAACTGCCAGGTGAGTGCTAGGAATGGAACCTGGGTCTTCTGCAAGAGCAGCCAGTACCCTTAACTGATAAGCCAATTCTCCATGCCCTTAAATTACAGCAACAGAAAAAGTAACTAATGTGGGAAATTGGTATGGAGAAGTGGGAGACAGTTGCTGTGAAACCTGACCATATGGTTCTTGGGCCTTTGGAACTGGTTTGTGGCAGAAATGTGGAAGACTTTGGAACTTCCAGCTAGAAAAGCCCTCGCATACTGTGAGCAGAGCTCAATGAGCCATTCCATCAGGCGCTTGGCGAATGCTGAGACAAAGGTGAACAATGTAGGCCCAGCTCATGGGGCTTCAGAGGGGTTGGAGAACTCTATCAGGACCTTGGCTAGGGGCCATTCCTATGACATTCTAGCCAAGAATATGGCTAAATTTTGCCTATGCTATGGGGACTTAGGAGGTTGAATTTAAAGGTAATGGACTAATGTTTAGTGGAAGAAATTTCAAGACAGGAAAACATTGGCACTGTGGCATGGATACTGTTTATTGCAATTACCCAGGTCTATACTGAAAAAGAGAAAAAAGTTGGACAGAAAGGTACAGAAAATGTACAGTTAAGAGACAGAAAAGGCACAAACAGGTTTAAAGTTGCAACAGAGGCAAGTGCTAAAAAACAGGCTGTGATTTTGAGAGAGAGAGAGAGAGAGAGAGAGAGAGAGAGAGAGAGAGAGAGTTAGTTCCCTGTAGCCCCAGCTGACCTGGAACTCATTATGTAGGCCAGGCTGGCCTTGAACTCACAAGAGATCCACTTGGCTCTGCCTTCCAAGTGCTGGGATTAAAGGCATGCGCTACCATGCCTGGCCTTGGCTGTGATTGTTAAAGAGAAACTCCCTGCTTTGTGCTGGAACAATAGGAAAGGTGCTCTGAAAGTAGGACCCTACCCATGAAAAGCTTGGGAAGAGGCAGAACCTTTGTCAAAGTGCTTGCCTAGCATACAGGAAATCCTTGGTTTGATCCTCAGCACCACATAAAATTGGCATGGTGGTCCACATCTGTAATCCCAGCACTTTGAAGGTAGAGGCAGGAGGATTAGAAGTTCAAAATCATTCTTGGGGGCTAGGCATGGAGGGACACAGCTTTAATTCCAGCACTCAGGAAGCAGAGGTAAGCAGATCTCTATGAGTTCCAGGTCAACCTGGTCTACATAGCAAGTTCCAGGCCAGCCAGAGTTACAAAGTGAGAGGCTGTCAAAAAAAAAAAAAAAAAAAAAAGTCATCCTTGGATACATAAGGAGTTCAAGGCCAGCATGGGCTACATGAAACCATGTCTCAAAAACAATTAGGCTAGGAGTCTGGGGAGATGGCTCAATGAGTAAGGAGTGCTCGCTATACAATCATAAAGACTTGAAATCAGGGCTGGAGATATGGCTCAGCAATTAAGAGCAATGGCTGCTCTTGCAGAGAATCCTTGTTTGAGTCTCAGCACCCACATGGCAGCTAAAAACATCTGTAACTCCAGTTCCAGGGGAATCCTACACCCTCTTCTGATCTCTGAAGACATTACATGACATGGAGAGGCATTTATATGCATGCAGGCAATATACATAAAATAAAAATAATTTTTTAATTAAATGCCTGAGTTCAGATCCCCTGCACCCACCATGAGCCTGTAATCCCAGCCCTGGAGCAGGGAGACAGGGTCACTGGTGCTTGATGGATGCCAGTCAGTTCCAGTTTCAGTGAGAGACCCTGTCTCAAGTGAATAAATGAAGACAGTGATTGTCCTCCTCTGGTCTCTACACACAGGCATACACACACACACACACACATACCGAGTCTATTCAGTGGACCTGTAACTAGTATATGAGATTCATCGATGTAAAATTGGCAGGTAGGGGATGCGGGGGTGGGACCAGGATGGGATGAAGGTCAGCTGAGTTGTCTCCCCTTGCAGACGAAGTAATGACATCTGCACCGGGCAGACGTTTCTGATTGACAAGGGCTGTGGGCCAGGTCCTGGTGTCGTCCACCTTGGGGCTCTCGGGACAGGAAATTCTGAGGGAAGAGATCCGGGCGTAGTGCGTCTACAGCACCTAGGTGAAAGGCAGAGTCGCCCGGCAGGTGAACTTCGCTGCCGAACTCCGGGAGTGATCGGCCCGGCGTGGCGCATGCGCGCTAGGACGCGGAGCCCGGTGGGCCCACAGCTGTTTGGCCTAGCCCGGCGCTCGGAGCTGGTCCAGCCCCAGGGCTCCGTCATCGGGCGTCATTGGCTCAGGCGCCAGGACTGTCAGCACCTTCTCCCGCCCCTGTCCAGACAGGCAGTGGCCGCGGCGCCAAGGGGGCGGAGCTGCCCGGAGGGCTCTTTGTCTATGGAAGCGGGTGAGTGCCAAGCGCCCGCTTGGGAGCTGCGGCGCGGGGGATGGGCTGTCCGCGGGACCTTGGCCTCTTCTCCCTGCGGCCCGCCCAGCCCCGCCAAGACCTCCGGCCCTTGGTCCCGTTGGGGACTTTGGTCTTTCATACACAGAGTCTTCCCCATCCTATTGTTATAAACTCGTTTTCCACATTTTCTGCGTGACTTGCCTAGAAGGGACGTGGAATCGCTGCCCCTCCCCCACCCACCACACCCGACCCTGTGCACCTGTCTTCATCTGTCTTAAGTGACCCTGATGGGTTCAACCTTTATTAAACATAATTTTTTTAAAAAATACTGGGGATTGAACCCAAGGCCTCCTCCATGCAGCAGTCTCAGTCACCCCCCCCCCCCCTCT